GCCGGCGCGTTCCCGCCCTTTTCTCTCAGGACGGGCCGGCCCTGCCGTTGGGCGGGAGCGCCACGAGGCAGCGGCCCACCTCGTCGCCGCTCATCCGCCTCGTCGGGGACACTGAATTATTTGGGGTCCCCGGCCGAGTGTCGTCGCCACGTTTTTCCGAAGGGGACCCTCTCCTGTCAGAGGGAGAGGGCAAAAAGGAGAAAGATATAGACATGGGCTTTTTGTATTGCTTTTTAGCCACGGAGTTGTAACTTCTGTTACATTTTTTTGTGGGAAGAAATGAAATAGAAGCATAGGCTGCCTGCCCAGGAAATTAGGCAGTGTATATATGTATTTTATCAGTGTTTCCCAACCATGGCAACTTTAAAAAGCATGGCTGTCTGGGGATTTCTGGGATTTGAAGTCCACCCATGCTGGTTGGGGAATTCTGGGATTTGAAGTCCATCCGTCTTAAGATTGTCATGGTTGGGTAAGAGTGTATTAGATTATCAGAAGGTTTCCATATATGCCACTTGTGGATGAGCCACAGCTGGCTAGATTTGCATGTCAGGCTGGAGTATAACCCTGGGTTACAAGCCACAAAACAGCGAAACCAAATGGCTATGGTGCAACTCAGTAAGACAACATCAATCTGGCAGTATTTTGAAGAGCTGACTAAATTATTGCTTGGTTCACGTACCACCCAAATTATGGTTTGCTTGATCCTGGTACGCTGAATAAAGCGTTGTTGGCTGGATTAGCACAACACGCTAAACCCACAATAGCTGGACTCTCCTACCCGTGTTAAACCAACAGATTACAGCAGCCTTCTCCAACCTGGTGCCCTCTAGAGCTGTTGGTCTTCCAGAATTCTCTCCCCAGGATGGACTTGGAGTTCTGAGAGTTGCTCCAGATGTTAGAAAAGAAGATTACAGCATAAACACTCTAAAGCTGTGGCCTGTTTCATCAGATGTAATTATTACCTCTAGAAAAATGCCACCAGCCTCCTCAACTGGTTCATGCATTGCACAAAGCCATAATTTAAAGAAACAGGATATACATGTAATAAAATAGTAAGGTTCTATTACAATATATAGTCTTCCTCCACTTCCTCAATCTATGATCAAGGATTCCCAGAAATTCAACTGACCAACAGTAACCTTTTCTTGGAGATTAAATGGCTAGTCTCTTTCCAAAATTTCAGTTTGTGGTAGTACATCTCTCTGCCGTAATCTGAACATATTTGGAACCAACTGATCAGATGAAAACAATATAAAAATTGCTGCAAGACCTGCTTCTGCACTTCTCACTTTCGACTAGTGAGAAGTATTTCCCAAGCTTTATATACTTACAGAGTCCATGACAACTGATTTTTCCAAAAACACATCTTTATTTTCCATAACATTAAAACTAGTCATTTTCTGAAAATTTGCTTTTCAAAAATAACAGCGCACTATAATTTTTGGACTCCGGCAGAACGCAAGCAAAGAAGCAATGGCGAAGAAGGTGAAGAGTATAAATCACTGAGACTTTAGTGACAAGAAGCTGCTGCTTGTGGGCTCGTCCGAGGTTTGTGTCTCTGTCACCACTTCCATCGGTTCTGGAATAGGTAATCCAAGAATGTCCTTTGTGAACTGAGCAGCTGTAATTTCCTCTGGGATTTCCTCCTGAATCAAGTCATCTGCACCTGGACAAAGGGGAAAGATGATGTTAGAATTTGGTGTGACCTGGAAACAATGTAAGGAACGAGGTCTCCGCAAAATCACTTTATCAGCAAGCAATACTGAATTGAGTTTTGTACTTTGACTACAGCGTGGCTATTCTTATATTCCTGTTAATAACGGGGGAGGGGGGAGAAAAAGAGGGGGAGGATGTTGATTGGGACATAGTTCTGCCATTTTTTTCCAGTACTGGGATGGGAGGCCACTAGGGGATCCCAGGGCTCTAAGATGAACCGGACATTTGGCAAAAAGTCCTGAAGAAGGCAGTGGCAAACCACTACCTGCCAAGAAAATGGGATGGATACATTCATCAAAAATTGAGGGCATCTTTACTTTTAACAGTTAACAGGTATTGCTTCTTCCATTGAGTTATCTCTGTGAGGGAAGAGTAGCCTGTTGTTCTGGCTTTTGGCAGTAATTTAGATTTATCTGTTTGGGAAAATTCGAACTATTTTCCTCTCATTTGTTCCTTGCTCTCTCTAGTTTCATCCCAAATATATTTGAAACCCAGAAGCCAAGACTGACTAGGACTAAATCATCCTCATACACTTGTGGAATTAGACTGGGCATCTACAAAGAGCAAAGGCTGCAGCTCGGTGCCAGAGATCGGTTTTTGCAAAATGTGTTTTGAGTTGAGTACCTGTGGGATCATAGGTGCCAACCTCTGAACGGCCCCCCTCGGGATTGAAGCCCAGAAGAGTGGTGAGATGCTCGGCCAACTCCTCTTCGGTGAAATGCTCTCCTGCTTTAGGAAAACGAAAGCACTGTCACTGGATCAGAGCAGCACCACCGCCTTCAAAAAGCTTTTCGGGCTAAGCGCACACACCTTTATGCTGAAGGAGCAAAAGCAGGTCATCTCTGTTGATGGTGGCTTCATGGTCCTCGTTCTCATAGCCCAGCACTTGGAAGGCATTTTGAATTTCTTTCGATGCCAGCCCAAAGGCAGGCCGATGATTCACATACAGTTTGATAAAGTCCCCTAAATTAATATGGGTCACTTGCTTTCCAGTCTCCAGAAACTCACTGAATTTTACTTCATTCAACATGTCTTCAACCTAAAAGAAGAAACGAGGTTGGTGTGGCTCCCACCCTCATCAGGTTCAAGAAGTCTTTCAAAATCTAGCAATTCTCTAAGGCCCTGAATTTGGATGGGTGCTGAGCTCTGTAGAATTTTATTTGCTTGTGGAATTGTCCTTTCCAGATGCATAGGGTTTCTGTTTGGTTATTGTTTTTATTGTTTCATTATTTTTTAACACTATAAGCCTGCCCAAAGTTGGGCAGCCTCTAAATCAAATAAATTTTTAAAAAGTACACTATCTTAAATGGCGTTGCCCCTGGAATGCTTTGACAAGTCCACTGTAGGGAGGAAATGTCGCAAGAGTTGCTCAAAGGGCTGAGCTGGTTGCATGTGGAAGTGTCACATTCTCTCATCTCTCAACCCAGTTTGGAGAATGGGGACTCTCTCCTCTCTTTCCCTGTATCTGATTTGCAACCCTTGCCAGCCTGTAAAACCACAGTTCCCACGAGTTCCAAACTGTGGTTGGAGAAATCCTTCCAAGCCAAGAAGGCAGATGAGGAACAGTTAGTCAAAAGAAAGAAATCTTTGTGTTTCCAAGGTCAAGCAAGCCGCTCAGGGATCCTCCCCACTCACCCACCCCCAAAAACCCTCTGACCTGCTCCTCAGATGGGTAAAACCCCATAGCACGCATCACAAAGGGAACTTGCTCCAAGGGGATGTGGGTAGACACCTTCCTAGGTTCCATGGTGTTGATGCCTTGATGGCACAGCTGAGCATAGTAAAAATAGTCTTCTAGCTCCTGGATATACACAAAGTATCTTGAGTATGCAATAATACAACACAAGAGATTAACTGATTAGTTCAGTAGATTAATTAAATAACAATCCACTATTCTCTCAGCACTTCGGTCCTGATCCAATTCACCATTTTAAAAATTTGGGATAAAAAAATCTCTCCATTGCCCAAATAAAATTATTACAATAGTCCTCACTTAACAACCATTCGTTTAGCAGCTGTTTAAAGTTATAAAAGTTTAAGCAGCTGATAAAAGTGACTTAAAACCGGTCTTCACACTTACAACCGTCACAGCATTCCCATGGTCACATGATCACAATTCAGGCACTTGGCAACCATTGCACATTTATGACAGTTGCAGTGTCCTGAGGTCACGTGATTGCCATTTGTGACCTTCACAACCGGCTTCCGACAAGCAAAGTCAATGGGGAAGCCAGCAGGAGGTTGCAAGCTGCAGTCACATGATGTCTTGCTTAACAACTGCAACTGGGACTGCTGTCACTAAGCGGGTCGATCACATGATGTTTCGCTCAGCAAAATGTAGGGTTGCTAAGCAGAAGTACCTGTATTATTATTATTACCGTTGGTCGCATAGTCAGCCAGAGGTTTAGACGGGGTTTGACATTTTTTATTGTTGTCGTCATTTTAACTTGTATGTCGCCTGACCCTCAACAACTCTGGGTGATTCACAACAATCAAACAAATTACAATAAAATCGACAAGACAAAAGAAAAAGATGAAGCAGGAGGTCTTTTCCTTTCCCTAGTCCGATTTTTTTGCTGCCCACCTCTGTCGGCATTCAGTGCCCCCTCCCCTCCCTTCTAAAGGGGTTCCTCGTCTTAATCCTGCCCCCGTCGAATCCACACGTGTTTTGCAGCGTTCCCCGAATGGCATCCCCATTGGCAGCCGGGGCAGGACCCTTCCCAGGAAGCGAGCCGGGCAGCCTTACCTTGAAAAACTCGCCATCTCTCCCCCCTTCCAGGAGGTTGTAGAACGGGACCAGGTCCTTGCCCCCCAGGGAGACCGCGGCATCCAGAGCGCTGGAGGAGGAGACAGGCGGGGGCCCCGGCTCAGAAGATCCCGCGGATAAGCCCTTCCCTCCTCACCTGCCTCCCCTCCACCACAAGGAAAGGGAGCCTCTAAACGGTCTCAGCGCCTTCTGAGTCCCTTTAGCAAGAGGTCCTTTTTCCTTTTTTTTAATCGGTGTTATTAAGAGGACGATCCTATATCCACCAGCTAAGAGGCTTCATGATTTGGAAAATGCCCTGCAATGCCTTAAGACAGAGAGAGGCTCAGCAGAACCCCCCTTAACCCTCTGCGGGCAAGACAGATCAGTGGGACCCCAGAAAGGAGGTGGGCTGTGTGCCGCCCCCAAATCACCCAGCATCCCAAACAGCAGAGTACGCAACTGGAAAGCCTACGCTGCTGTGGTGTCTTCTTTTATTGCTTACCTGCAGGTATCTGGACGCCAGAGAAAAGGGTCCGAGTTACCTCCAAAACACCTTCCAAAAGTTCCTTTTTCCGCCCAACAACGGGGAATATTGGGAAAACTGGGGCTCCTGGCCTCTTCTAAGGCATTTGCTTTTGTGAAAGGCTACCCACCCCACCCTGGAGGGGCTTGACAAACTTAACCTCCAGCTCAGTGTTTCTCAACCTTGGCCACTTTAAGATGCGTGGACTTCGGCTCCCAGAATTCCTCAGCCAACCAGCTGGCTGGGGAATTCTGGGAGCCGAAGTCCACGCATCTTACAGTGGCCAAGGTTGAGAAACACTGCAAGAACCCAGGCTTTTCCTCTTTAGGCCCCAGACATCATTCCCCCGCGGGCCAGAGCCACGCGCTTTGCACCATCACTTACTCTAGATTCACGTCCCATTTCATCACCGTCAAGTCGCTGCCCCCCGCCGTGAAGAGGTAGCGTCCGCTGTAGGAGCAGGCGAGGTCGGCCACCCCCATAGGGTGGCAAATGAAAGCCGAGGACTTGTGCGGGTTCCCGTCGACGGGCAAGATCTGCAGGCCAATCTAGGGAGGAAGACGGAAGGGCAACCAGTCCCCCCCAAGCCCTGCCTGGAGGGATTTTAAGCCTCAAAGGAGAGGTTCCCTCTAAGGCAGAAGGCCCGGGAAGCCTTGTGGGCGCTCCCACGAAATGGCTGCCAGGGAGGGGACCTGCCCGTTCGTGGAAGAGTTGCCAGGGTGGATCTGTCCCACCACAAGACTAAAGGCAGCAACTCCCCCCTCCGCTTCACCCTTTTCCTCGGACAGGCTGGTCCCTACACGCATTTCCTTAAACAAAACGCTACACGGGGCTGGGACTTCGTCCTGTGGCATACCAGTTTCTCGTTTAATGTTTTAATTAAATACATTAAAAAAAACCCAAATATTTAGAGTCGTGTGGTGAAACGGAGCTTGGCTGGTGCCCGAATAGACCTCTGTGGCCGAGTGGCAGTGGTTTTTTTTTCCCCCCGCGCTGGCCCTCTGCCACCAGCCTCCCCGAGCAAAGCAGACCGTCTGTGCATCCTCCTGGTGCAGGAAGTGGGGGAGAGAACTCCAAGGAGGAGGAGCAGCAGCAGCAGCAGCAGCAGCAGCAGCTTAATTGAATGGGGAGAAAGTTGTTTGCCCCACATTTGGTGTTCCTCCTCTTTACCCCTAAGGCCGATGTCAAAGCACCCTCATTTGTCACCTACGGTACCTTATCTTTTGTGATGTAGGCCAGATACCGCTTCTGGAGATCATGGCCCTCAGCCAATGGAAGGATGATAATCTTCTCAAGAGGAGAGCCATACGTGGGTCCCAAAACGGTCTTTCTAAAAGAAGCACACCATGAACAAGCATCACAGCCCCAACCAAACCCACCAAGAGCAGATCCTTCTCCCGTTGGCTCTGTTAGCTTCCATCACAGTGAATCATGTTGCCTACGTCATGGTTGGCAGACTTGCACTTCATAAGCCAGGACTGCCTGAGATGGCGCAAGATCTAAGCTGAAACTCAGCATAGAAGCCGTAATATCTGGGTCTAGAGAAGAGACATGGCTAAAGGCAATTTAACGACATTACATCTTAGTGTTTGTGGGAACCAAACCAGTGCATTGCATATAAGACTTTGGATTGTGTTTGCTGGAAGACCACCACAGATCGATCTATCATCTCTCTATCTATCATCCATCCATCCATCCATCCATCCATCCATCCATCCATCCATCCATCCATTCACCCATCCATCCATCCATCCATCCATCCATCCATCCATCCATCCATCCATCCATCACAATTATATCTCACCTTTCCTTCAGGAACCCAAGGCAGTGGGCACAGCTCTCCTTTCCATATTCCCCCAACAACAACCCTATGAGATTGGTTGCCTGGGGCGGGGGGGCAGGGAGGTTGGCCCAGAGTGACCCAGAGAGTTTCTGTGACTGTGGGGGGACTAGAGCCTGGGTCTCCTCACTCCTAGTCCAACCCCACATTGGTTCTCATTACAGAACAGAGCCTAACCCTTTGAAGAAATCGTTTCCCCAGTTAGCTACCTGCACAACTTTGTGGTCACATTATAAATCTTCATTTTGTAGTGATCGTTGGCAGTGAGGAAAAAGTACTCGGTTGTGATGGGGGGATACCAAGCAATATATTTGGGGACCGCACTCTGCTCAATACGGTCTCTTCGGATTACCACCAGCTCATCTTTGACGGTACTCTCCAAGTCGTATTCCACCTGAAAACCAAGCAGCACAGATCCAGGAATGGGGAAGTTCAGACAACCTAGTCTTTGCTTCGTTGTTCTACAGTGAGACATGTCAAAGTGACATCACTGGGTCTGCTGTTGGTTAGGCAAGTGGACTGTCACTGACCCAGCTGAGTCGACCAACACAGTGAGCCAAGGATTAGCCACTTGTTCTATTCAACTCAAAAGGCTATCAAACCTTCCTGTTTAGGCTGGGAATTTTTGGCCATATCCTACTATGGATCCAGAGTCATCCTGATTCCCAACTTGTTCTTCAGATCCCATCTTCCTCCTTGACTCCAGGCCAGCCTCCTTTGTTCTGAGATCTCAGCTGCCTAGGTCAAAAGGCTGATAGCCTTTTGAGTTGAATAGAACAAGTGGCTAATCCTTGGCTCACTGTGTTGGTCGACTCAGCTGGGTCAGTGACAGTCCACTTGCCTAACCAACACTTTTCCAGAGGGTGACCCCCCATTGGGCAGCCCAGTTTCACCAGATGTGCCCAACCATTGGACGTACCAAGAGCCGGTCTTCTCCGAGACTTAAGAGACGTGGCTCATCACTGTCCAAGTGCACCCCAAAAAGAAGGGTGCGAATTGGCTTGTAGTGGGAGTGGAGGGCAGCTAGGCGATCCCAGACTTTCTTCTCCTCTATGACCATTTTTTTGTAAAGGTTCAATGACAAGTTTTCATCCTAAAAGGCGAGAAAAATCACCTAGAAAGGGAAACCAGCATTTTGTGTCTCCCTTTCCCTTCTCAATAGGCAGCATTTGGACCAACTTCTCCACTCTGGTCCCTCAAGATGTGGTGGACTCCATTGCCCATAGTTTCCATTCAGGCTGGGATAGAGCCTTGGATGAGGACAGGCTGAGCAACCTTTTCTTGGATGTGCCCTACCCAACAGCACCTTATGCAAGATCGCATGAGGTTTTGCCCTTCTTTCAAGAAGTTGACATTTCTGGCGCGGTTTCAGAGACCTTGAAGGGGATGGGTATAAGCATCTGCAGAAACCATGAAGACATCAAGAGGATGTCTTGTGGGGGACAACATCATTGCTCAAATGTACTTGCATCATTTGGCACCACATGATATCTCACGCACAATGTTGTCATGACGTGCAAGATGTCACCTGCCCCCACCTTTGTTCTCCCATGGATGTCCACAGGGACATCTGCCTTTGAGAGAGAAAGTGGTGGTTGTGTAGGTGCCACAATACCAGCTCCTAGCTTTGGACAAAGGAATCTAAATCCCAGCGTAGCTACAATGATCTCAGACTAGATCCATTCCATGGAGAGCTACTAGGAACGATGAAGCCATAGCCTAAACAAGGTGTGGCCCGTGGGATACAGAAGTGGGAAGAGGCTGTGGTAAAAGTCCACCATTACTTACTGCAGTGGCAAGATATTCAGAATTGTGAGAGAAGCTCATGATGGTGACCGGGCCTTTTGAATATTGGAAAGGTTCCGGACAGTCGTTTTCCAACGATATTGAATCAAGGATATAAACACTCCCATTCAGGAAGCCAGCAGCTAGCAAGGAACCTAAGATGCACATTGAAAAACAGTTGTTCCAAAACTCTGGCTTTCACAGCAAGGTTTTTGGGATTCCTGAGACATTGTTTTTTCATAATGAAGTGGAAGCAGTAATAAAGGAATAGCTCTGCATGGCACAATAACATGCTACATTAGCAATACCTGTCCCCATAAACAAAATCCTTCTATCATGTTTCTCAAAAATAACTCCTAACAACTTTAATTATGAGGGTCCTCCATGCAGGTCCATCCCCCTCCAGTACACAGCGCCATTACTGATCAATTGGGCCACAGAGGACAGACAAATTAAAGCGCTCTACTGAGGTAGGAAACAACCAGAGATCAAAGCCACCAGAGGGAAGCTTCTACTTAAAGGTACCCTTGTTCCCCAAAGGAACTATGTACCTTTAAGTAGAACTTGACTGTAGCACTTCAGCAGTGAACTGTAGACAGATTGGTGCTGCAAGTGAGTTTTAAGCTTAACAAATCTACCTGTCAGGCTTGCAATTATGATTGGAGGCTAATACTAAAAACATTGCAGTGCAATAATTGGCAGCAAATTTTCTGGATTATCTGGGTCCATGATGGCAGTTCCTGACTTTACCTAATTAACTAGGTAAGAGTTGGGGAAAAAAGCAATGTAATGACAACTTAGGGCATTTTCTCTGCAGTGGTCCACAGAGAGGCTTCTGATAGGACAAAAAAAAAAACCCAAACAAACCCTAACTCTGACTGGAATTTGAGGGCCCAGAACAAAGTTGCTTCGGAAGAAGGACACTGCATAGAGTGATAACAGCTGCAGCCATTTGATACCTGCTCAACCAGCAGTTGCAAATTATTCTTTGGACAGGTACTCTAATTGTTTGGGATTCCCTTCCTGGCACAGAAACCGAGTCCTGGGGAGAGGAGCTATTTCTAACTTCAGAATGACAGAAAATATGAGGAGGACCAAGTACTACCATCATGATTATAACAGAGGCTGCTGATGCTTTCGCCCTTAAAAATTCGACTGACAAGGTATTTATGGAGTGTGTAGCTCCACACTTTCAGAAGGCCGCAGTAGCTCCCCTTGGCCAGGAGACTTTTGCTGGGGTGGCAGACGATGGTGTGAACAGCATCCTTTGGTTCCTCTAGGCACTTGGTGACTTTCGTTTCCTCTGACTGGATGTGAATCACCAAGCCGTCCAAGGTGGCCAGGATGAAGTTCCTGCCTCGGGGAGCAGAAGGTTGCATATCACAGAACTGGACATCTAACCAAGGAGGAAACCCAAGAACTGCCCGGCCTGCAGGAGGAGCTCCGTTCAATCCCATCAAAGCCGCCAGGATGAAAACCTCTGCAGGGCACTGAGCTCCCCTTTGCTGCTCACCTAACAACGAAGGGTTTGCCATCCAAGGTGCAAGACTCAGGGTACTTGGTGATGTCGCCAGGGGACGCAGGTTTCTTGGAGAAGGAAATGGACTGGATGGGTCCCAGTTTAAACTGGCTGTACCAGTGCATCAGCTGCAGGTCCCCATCGTAGAATTTCACGTGGCCTCTGACGTCGCAGGTCACGAAGAGTCTGGGAAGGAGCGTTGGCAGTAGAGATCAAAGGATAAAGCAAAGGCCAGAAACGGTTTTCTTTTTCCTTTCCAGCCGCCGGGTTCTCGAGGTGGGCTTGCTGGAAAGGAGTGCCTGTTGGCGGGCTGGAATTTGAAGATAAAATAATAACAGGAGCTGGGACAGGGAAAAGATCTGGCGCTCTTTCGGGGAATTCTGCACTGAAGAGAGCTCCAGTTTTGTCAATGACATCGAGCAGGCATTTCCCCCCAGACCGGAAAACCCGTAGCAAAATACAAGATTGCTCGAGGGTGGGACGTTGAATTGCAAGAAAGAAGTTAGCCAGAGAATTCCCGGCTCTTTCACAGAGCTGCATCCTGGAATTCAGGATTGGGGACGGTGGGCCACTCTGCCCTCCCTTCTCCAGGTTAACGCATGCTGCAGCACCCTCTGCTGGCCAAAATGGGAAAAGCTTCCCGAACGTTAATTGTATTATATATTATTATTTATTGAACGTTAACGATATGATCGTTTTCCCTGTGTATCATTCAGCAGGTAGCAGCCCCTGCCTGAGTCAGAAATGAAATCAGGCCAGGCTTGGTTAGTGCTTGGATGGGAGGCCACCAGGAAATGTTTGGGCAGCAAGCTAGACTTGGAAGTCAGAACCTCACGCCAGAACCTCAACAGTCAGCCACCTTCATAGTGTTATCAGGAAAACTACCAACCCCAACCCTCAGTGAGGTGTCCATGGAGCTCAATTCAAGGAACTCTTCGATTTTACTTGTTGTCAGGGCAGGGGTGGGGCAGGGGAGGCTTTTCTGGTGGTGGGGATGGAGGGGAGCCCACCCAAAGACTGTTTCAGCATTTTCAACAAGGGCACTGAGCAGTACTTTTTATTCAGTTAGGGGGCAGGCCAGAAAGGACACCCACAGCGCTAATTAAAGTAAAATCTCAACAGTCATGCCGAGGTGCCCTACAAGTTGTGGAATTCATGTCATTTGGGCAATGGTGCTGGGATGTGCAGGAGGTCCCCCTGCCGTGCCCGGCAGAGGCTCCTGGGCTTACTCATCCGTGATGGCCAGGACCGTGATGGCGTCCTTCTGCAGATGCACCAGCTTGATGGCTTTCATGTTGTACAGTTTCTCACATGCAGTGGAACCCTTCAAGGGCGAGCAAACAACATCCCAGATCACCAGCTTCCCCTCTGACGTGCTGCTGATTGCTTGGGCAGAGTTGAAATGGAAACGGGATTGACTGAAGAATCCCACCGCCTTGTTGAAAGTCTGTGGGAGGGCGAACGGACCACTTTGGTAACGCAGATCGGGAAGAGAAGAACAGGAGTCATGTTCCAAAACATCTACTCTGAAGACATTGGCCTGCATCTTCTACCACATGTCTTCGATTTCCATCCTTCCATTCATTCAGGAGCTCACAGCGGCATACAGAATGCTCCTTCATATTCCCCCCCACACAACATCCCTGGCCAGGCGCTCTTTCTGAACCCTAGCTGGTTGGGTTCAGAAGGAGCGCCTGGCCCAAAGTCACTCAGGAGGAGTGAGGACGGGGTCTCCCTGTTCTGAGTCCAGCACCTGAATGACTCCATCACACTGGCCTCTTACTTAATCTCATTTCTTTATTGTAGGAAGCGATTCTAGACTGGTGCCTGGGGACACCCTCTTTGGTGCCTGCCCCAAATCGCTTTCATTTTCTGCTTTAGGAACCTGTCGCTTAAGACATCTAAATGGGAAACTGGCCTCCAGAATCATCTCCAGAATAATACATCATCTTTATGAGGAAGAATGCCTGGGTTCCAGGGGTCTGCATACATTCGCTCCCATCTAGAATGAGATCCTGCAAAGAACGCAGCATATCACACGCCTATCAGAGTCTCCGGAAGCTTTTTAGACAGGGACTCACTTTGTCTGTCAGGAGAGGAGCGTGGTAGTGCAACCCATCCTCCTAGAAAAAATGGAAAGGGGAGAGAGATCAACCTCTACAGGCTCCCCGAAGGCAGCCTGAAATGCAGACGTCCACTGTCCTCTGCAGCTGAGTCTGAATTGTCACTGGTCATCAAGATGACTAACCTATCCCAAAACACTTCCTTTTGCATGACCTCAGAGGGAATCATTTGCAGCCAGAGTTTCAAACATTTGCGGGGGGGGGGAAGTATTGTGGATCAACTGGGTAAATGTGCACAGTGTCGCTGGCCGCACATCGCACATTCTGCTTTGGCTCGTGGGGGGGAGAAAGGAAGCACAGCCTGTCCTGCCAAAAAACACAAACAGACAAGCTGAGCTTATCTGGCAAGCTGAGCCGTGGCGGGATTATTCAGTTTTGGCTTAGCGTGGTGGATGAACTCGGCCAATTGTGGCTTACTCAACAAACTGTGGTGAAGAAATGACGACTTGGGGCAACAGATGAACCAGGTTAGTGCCCCGCTGCCTCTAAATGCTTAATGAGCATCTGCAGCCCCAAATCCTGCTGCTTCTGTCTTTGGGGTGGAGGAGACAGGAACATCCTTCTTCCTTCCAAGCCTGCTCAACGTGTTTGAACCAGAGCATCAAGAATTTCCAACTGCCGACCCTGCTTGCTGGGAATTCTGGGACTTCCTTACCCATGAGTAGAAGACGACTTGGCTTTCACTGTTGCTCACCAGCTCCTTCTGGGTTTGGCCACTGAACGCAATGTAATTCTGAAAGAAAGACACGTTCAGTGTTGACCATCCCCATCAAAATGCAGTTCATACCTGAACTCCCGGCAGGGGCCCAGTTTCGTGTCCCGAGCCTTTGCAGCTCTTTGCTGTGACCAGCGATGATTATTTTGCTTTTAATTCCTGCAGAAATAAAGCTGGACAAGCTTAGGAGGAGGACAGAGAGCTGGCGGGACGCTGCTGTTCTCCCCTGCCACGTCCCGTCGGTCAGCTAGAAGCAGCACTGTGTCAGATCAATGGCTGCAGCAACTGGCCACGGGCAGCTGTGGTGCAAGTTATGGGTGCATCACTGAGGATTTGGGAAGTGGAAACAGTGGTTCTGATGAAATGCTGGCTTAAGTTTGCAGCCTTTGGAATTTCAGGAGGGAGAAACTATCCACCCCTGCTGGGAAGGAAGGGAATGCTGCTGGGCTGAGGGGGATTTACTCCCATTATGTAAAGGAATATTATAGGACAAAAACCAAGTATCCACTATTTAGGAATAGTTTTTCTACCTTCCTCTCTTCCATAAACTGTAACTTGCCCACTTACGCCCTGAAGAGGTCATTGGCCAAATCTTGGAGGGGAAAAAATAAATCATCATAATCCCTGCGTCGCATGCCAACAATCAGAAGGTCTGACCTGGAAACCAAACTGGGGCAGGATTTCCACACTGCAGACCGGCTTTGTGTCCAGCGTGGTCCACCTCCAAATGGAAACTTTCTGAGATAAAGAAGAAAACACTGGGGAGCCGGAGAACAGAGTGCGTTTCTAAACTTCGAGAAGGTCGGGGTGCCTATCCAAGGCTACGAACTGAACCGGGCCCCTAAAGCGAGCCTTCCCCCTTGACCCCGATTGCTCTCCCTCTGACATTTAAGAAACCCTAGAAAACGCTTCCCTTACCTGCACCTCTCCAGCCCCCAGTGTAGCCAGAAACTTGGAATCGTGGGAAATGGTGATGGCGCTGACTCCACCTTCGGGGTGACTGTCGAAGATGGTGTGGACAGGAACCCTGAGCAACAAGGCGTGTGCAGCTGATTGGGGACCAGGGTCTTAGTGGAAGGCTCCCAATTTTGTGGGTGCCAACTTAGGCATCTGAGCTGGGGGGAAGACTCGGCAGGGCTGTCGGACTAGACCTGGAGACCCCCAAATCTTTGCACACCTGAACATTCAGCGCGGTTAGTTGAACCGGGCAGCCAAGTGACCAGCCAACAAGTGGCTAGCTTTGGACCAGCAAAGGTCTTTGAATGGTGAAGCCTATTCTTTCATTCACTGAGCTGGACCTGGGACCCCCAAGTCTGATCTGCTGGTTCCACAGCAAGGAACCAGCAGGTCCTTTTCAGCTGGGAAATTGCTTGGGAAAAAGCCGTTCCCTATTCCTGCTCTCGTGGTCACTGCAGACCGAACATTTTGTTAGATGCTCCAAGGAGACAACTCAGCTTAGATGAGCTGGAGGTAACATGGTCTCCTACAGAGAAATATGGAGGCATGTTCTGCAGCCGCCAGATCCTTACGCAGAGTAGCTGTCCCAGACGATCACCAGGCTCTCAGGACCTCGGTCGGCCGTTGCAATCCACCGCCGGTCATCGCTGGCACAGATGCAAGAGATGCAACTGGAATGTCCCTACGAGACACGAGGTCGTCTCAGGAGAAGCAAACATCCTTGCCGGGAGGGTGCTTTGCCCCCACCTGGACACATCCCCCCCCACACAGCGAGCATATTCTCTCGAAACAGGGGTGTTTTCATGAGAACTGCAGGTATGGGCAACATTGGTGATCCAGAGGAGGCCACAAAGTCAGTGGTGCTGGGCTTAGGAAGCCAGTTAACGGCTTTTTGTTTCGCATTTAACTGACACGGACCTATTTTAGGGTTTATTCTATAACTACCCATCAAGATTTCAGGAGATGAATTCTGGAGGGTGCGCAATGGGAATTCAGGTGCTGGATCCAGCCCTGGTGTCATCAAGTTGCCCCACTCCTACCTTACTGGATCCCTCTAGACCAGCGTTTCTCAACGCTGGCAACTTTAAGATGTGTGGACTTCAGCTCCCAGAATTCCCCAGCCAGCACATAATACACGTACGTTCACAACTCAAGTACCATTGTCGTCTTTTGGAAAGAAGCGTGTGGGAAGCGTTAGTACAATAAGATGCTAGAAGCTCTGCGCTCTGGTCAGGAATGTTCTCTCGGACCTAGATTGCTTATAGTCCCGCACTGTGTACATTTCCAGAAAAAAATGCAGATTTGCCTGTATAGGTGTGTGAAGAGACCTTCAGATGCTTTCATCTTTTCACCCTCACAGCGTGGAGCCATTCCACCCGTTGGCTGGGCTTCTATCCCGTGCTAAGCCACAGAGGTGCCCAAATATGATTTAACGCAGCGAGCAAACCTATCTGCCATTTCTCCCATGAAAGATGATTCCTAAGGCTCAGAAGAGACGGGGACTGCAGCAACACCAGAACTTGCTCTTACCTGCAGGAGATACTGTTTATTCCTGATGAGGTCGTGGATCACGGCCACCTGAGCAGAAACGTACAAGATCACCTGTTGGTCTTCGTCGAGAAGGTTGAAAACGGGGAGCTGGTTGTTGTAGCCAAAGACCCATGACAAGCTCTGGAAGATCAAAGAGGCCAGGATCAAATTATTTTCCCAGACATCCCAAAGGATCATCCAGACTAACCCAATCAGCACGTCCCGGGGGTCGGTACAGAAATCTAGATCAGAGAAGGCATTCATCGCCATTAGCTGTCCTTCCCCTTTTCGACCCGCACTCACAAGAGGGTGATCGGAGAGTGGCTTAGTCTTCTCTTCAAACAACATCCCCGGGAAAGCCGACGACACGATAGAATCTTCCTCCTGGAGAAGAGTTGCGCTGCTGGCAGGAGTTTGGGTCCTGGAAGTCTCACTTTCCTTTAGGGAGGTCCCTGCCATTGTCTCTAGACTGGTCACGTCACTATTACTTGGTGGCCCTTGGCTTCCGTGGGACAGCTTGGACTTATCGGTGGCCAAGGCAGGAGCCGCTGCACCCTCTCTGCTTGTGGCACTGCCGGGTTTTGAGGGCACGAGTTCTTGGCTGCTCCTTTGAGTGGGCTCCTGCTCCCCGCGTTTGGGACTGTCTTTCCCCGCACGAGCCTCTGTTCTGGCTTCTGAGAGTTTTTCGGCGCGAGCGGGGCCTCTTTTATCGACCTGGAGGGCAGGACTCTTGGCACCCTCTCTTTCAGCTGCAAAGAGCCTCTCTTTTACAGAAGGGGCTGAATCAGAGCGCGCTTCTTTTGACTGCAAGAGCTCACTGGATATTTGGCCTTTTGGCATTGGGATCCTGATTGCGTGTTCCTAAGTGGCAAAATACAATTTGTAGCTGAGCCTGGAAGATGCACCCCAATTCCTCCTCTTCCCTATCTCCTATTTTGCCTGATTTTCAATCTTTCGCTGGATTATTCCATTCTGCACCCCCAGCCACACAATTCAGAGCCCTCCTTTTGGACGATGGAGACGTCCCCAGCCTTGCTATTAAACAGGATGGCCCAACTGCCTCCAGTGGCAAATGATTATGATGACTAACCTTATAATATTTTACTACTCTTGTATTCGTAACAATAATTAAATTTGTATGCCATCCGACTCCCAATGACTCTGGGCAGCCCGCAAGTAAAAACATTTAAAAAATACAATAAGGGACATAAACGAAAGAATAAAAGATGCAAAGATGACCAGAACCGGACTGAAACGGAAAAGAAACAAGTCCAGGGTGGCAGCGAACATGCAGCTGTGGGTATCCTGCAGCCTACATGCAGCTGTGGGTTATCCTACAGGTAAAATGGAGAAGATTACCTCCTTGGCACCCTCTAGAACAGTGTTTCTCAACCTTGGCCACTTGAAGATGCGTGGACTTCAACTCCCAGAATTCCCCAG